TTTTTTTTTTTTCCTAGGTAGCTATAAGTTGTCTCATTTTCTCTAATATTCTTAATATGATATTACTTTCAAGCATGTATGTTTTCTGTTTTCTAAATGTTCTAGTCGTGGTAATTGTACCGCTCTGATAGTCTGATATACTAATCGCCACTAATCGTTTATCGTTGGCGGCATGTACGACTATCAGGCAACAAAAACTATACCTATATTATGGTGTACTGTATTTTGTACGTTTCTGCGAATTATTTTTCATGCAAGAGTGTTTATAATAAACCCGATAAGCAATCGGTAAACAAAACAAAATGACCATGAAGACCGTGGATTAACCATAGGGCGGCCGGGCGGGTTTATTTTTAGAAAATTTGTTACTAGTAGATTTATGGTTAATGTATAGCTATATATATATATATATATATTTTATCGTATGATATCGTGATTCGTTAAAAGTAGATATGTACGGTCGTTGGACGTTGACGGATAGCGACGCCGCGCCATTCGGAGTACTGACTTACTGCCGAATTGACTATTGTTCGAGTTTATTTTTTGCGTCTTGTAAGTTGTAACTGTGAAGTTTTAAGACAATATGAGTAATACTCAAAAACAAAAAAAAAAACTTTATTTTCTTATTTTAGTACAAATAAAAAAATTTGTTTGGAAAATGATGAGGTAATTATAAAGATTAATTCTTATTTTGCCTTGATCCACACTAACCTCAATAGGTAACAAGTTAGGGGATTTTAAAAATGTATATTATGTACGAATTTATGGGTGTTAGGATGTATTATTATATATTTCATCTCCCCCCCCCTAGCAAAATTCCTAAATACGCCACTGATTGAGTACGCCATGTAAACATAAATTTTATATTTTTAATTTGAACATTTATAACAGGTTTGAGGTTATGTTATTCTATAAAATCAAATTATTTGGAAAAGGTTTCTATTACTTATGATATAGTTATATTTAATTAGAATTTTATGAATCTAAGCATATAGTATATCAAATTAATATAATCAAGATTCAATAAAAACAATCTAAACACCGATTACTTATACAAATACTGATTTCAATATTATAATATTATAGTATATTGTAAATTAAGTTAAGCTAAATATTTTAACTGTATAGGCTGTTGTTACGAGAAGTTTTTATTTTATCAACTTTTTTATTCAAATCTTCCCAGGAATAATAAAAATGACCACTTTTCCTTCGAATAAATTAAATTTAACCTAATACAGTTTACAGTTTGACTTTTTGTTATCCAAATATTCAAATATTTTTATTCGCACAAAAAATAGGTATAGAGATAAAATGTAGGCATATAATTTCACGCTTTCCTCGTTAAGTGGTCGAGTCTCCTAAGAGAGGGGAGCACAACTTGCGAGAATCGCAGCAGTAGCGAATTTTTTGTCAAGTATAGAATCATTATATTTTAGGGCTTTTTAACTTGTCTATTTGACAAATTTTTTTTTATTTTTTTTTTTTTTGGTTTCCATTATAAAACAAGTAAATTTTTGTTTATCCCAGCAATTAGGTTCATTGTAGTAATTTTGAACGTCAAATGTATTGATATTTTCAGTTTATAATGTAAAGTCATATAAATCAGAAGTAAAATAATATGTTACTATTTAATGATTAGCACGAAAACCGTTGGCTGAAATTATTAATAGTAATTTTATCATACAACTTGATAGTAGATTGGTAATTATAATGTTATATATCTATCAACATTCGAATAAAATAAGCATTTTGAAGAATTAATATTATTTATATTAATATTAAACCAAATAAAGTGGACAAAATATTCGTTTGATATTAATTACAATAATCTGTATCCAGTCTTGTTCGTGTATTGATTAACTCAATAATAGTTACAATAAAATAAATTCGGTGCCTCCGAATTGCATGTCAAAAAAATAAACATAAATTGGAATGTTTGAATTGTATTTCACGTCTTAGAGGTGTTTATCCAAATTGCATGCCGGAAATTCATGCATTTGGGCGAATTTTTAAAAATTGCGATGTGTTTGGGTAATTTAGCTTTTTTTTTTAGAAATTTTTAAAATTTAATTTTTAAGCTATAAGTATGTATATGTATAGGTACGTACGTATGTATAAACATTTAATGATGTCCAATACCAGATAACAACATTATTATATCGATAATATAGAGTATTGACTATATATATAGAATAGTATAGACCAGCGGTTCCCAAACTTTTATGACCACGGAACCCTTAACAAATATTTTTTGTTTCATGGAACCCCAACGCCTCTAGCTTCAAATTAACACAAAATCTGTAATTATTTGTATTTACATTTATTTTCATTGTTGAAAAACCAATAATCTAAAAAATGTTTTAAAGATAGTTTATGATTATTGTTAATATTACAATTACTGTTCTCAATATTCAGGTACATCTCGCGGAACCCTTAGGTTTCGCGGAACACACTTTGGGAATCGCTGGTATAGACGATTAACTTTAAAATTGTATGATGAAATATTACAAATATATTTTTGAAATATTACCTATTATAGATAAGAAAGATATAACTAATGTCAAAATAAGAGTGGAAATCGATTAATAAAATACAGCATCCCAGGATATTAAAAATAAATAATAGAAAAAAGTTGCTAAAATCGAACCGGCATGCAATTCGGATATACACCCCTAAGACGTGGCATGCAATTTGGACAGAACCCTCTAAGACCTGGTATGCAATTCTTTTTTTTTTGTTTTTTTTTTTGCATGCAATTTGGATGCAGCTAATAAATTGTAGTTAATCACGGAAGATTTCGATCACGGTGAAGTACATGCTTAATACTCATGACATTTATAGGCTAGCTACATAAGCTAAATAAATAATTTGACTTTATTTTTGGTTTATTTTTTAATAATTTTAGATTAAATCAAAAATCTTGAGCAGTCAAATATAGAGCAAGTAATGTATTAGTATATACAGTTACAATATCAGTGATAGTGTGTGGGCCATGGTTTATGTTTGTATGGTACATGGCCGGTTTTCGATGTAGTTACATAGATATTTACAAAAACAGATAATGCTGATAATATGATGTCGTAAAACTGTAATAATACTTCAATAATAAAACATGTATTGGTTTTATAATTTAAAATTTACATTTTAATAGGAAATAATTGAATGAGTAAAAAATAAATTACTATATATATGTATGTATAAATAAATATTATACAAAAGTAAAATTAAATAAATAAAATAAAATATATATATATATATATATATATATATATATATAGGTGTATTTGGATTAAGAATCACTCAAGCCATGCGTTCACATTCATTTTTTATTTTCATTTCGTTTAGCGTCATAGATTCAATGTCATTATAACCGGTTGAGTTAACCGGTATCCCGAATTGATCATTTGGACCCGAATTTAAATTTCCTGAAAATAATCGAAAAATTCTTGTAAAAATAAACAAAAATATAATTTATAACAAAATTTAAAAAAAATACATCTTACGTTTTTTTTTTTATCAAATTTATACGGTATTTTAAGGTACCCAATTTCTAATTTACAATAATAATTCATAGTGACTTGATAATAATTAAACAAAAAATCAAAAATACAAACTAATAAATCATTTATAATTAGTGTTATAAAATTAGATTAATTTAGATTTTTAAATCGTACAATTTTGAAATATAAATTAAAACTGCTAATTAATGTTCTGAAAACGGAAAAAAACAAAAAAATAAAATAAAATACTCTATGCATTGAAACCCGGGTTCTATTTATAACATTCGTTTAGTGTCAACACAAGGAATACGTACTCGTATTGCATTTTTTAGGGGAGTCTTGTATGGATGGTACGTTTAAAATTTTTACGTGCAAGGTGGCTTCCAGTATGGTCGCAACGGATCTCTTGGCGTTGACCAGTTCGAGTCGACAAGATTCCACGTTCAGTTCGTTTACCAATGATTTTATTCCCTGTGCGACAGAAAGGAATAAATAAGAAATCAACATTGAATTAGTATACAATTTCTCGCTACGGGTGAATGCGTAACGTAACATTTTAATAGTACATCACGTATAGTGGGATAGAAAAATTATATACTTGAGCAGCCGTGAAGTCAATCTTATCAAAGTGAGTGCAGTTCACGATGATAACACTCGGTTTGCTAGCTCGGTCTAGAGGCGACAACTCCTCTATGATTTTTTGTCGCATGTAATCCACCGCGGGAAACATCAATCCGCTGCTGGGTTTGACAATCCACTTAACGTGACCCGTTGAGTTCTGAAAATAAAAGTATTAGGTGTTACAATATGTAAAAACAATATTTATAACTAGGGTTGTAAAATTTCATGAAATATATAATTTGAGTAAAAAATAAAAATTTTGTTTCATTTCGTTAAAAATATAATGCTTTATGTTTTATTTTTTATGGAATACTTTATGTATTATTAATTTTACTAAATAGAAATAAAAACTAATTTATATAAATTAAAAATTAAAACCATATTAGTTTATAGTTATTATAATTTATAAATATTGATTTAAGAAGTAAGAGACCTATAGTCATTGAAACACTTGAAGAAATTTTACAAAATATAGATGAATTTATAAATAAGTTGCCAGTAGTTCCATAACTCATCAGCTATCACATTATTTCAGAAGTTTCTCATCAAAAAATATATCGGTACCTAGTGAGTTTAAAAGTTAAGCACATATTTATAAAATTTATTGTGAATATTGTGAAACACACAATATTATACCAGCATCTGGAAATGTTTTTAAAGAAAGATGAAAATTACAATTCAATATAGGAGTACAATATTGAATTGTATTTATATACAAATAATAAATAAAATAAATATATATATATATATATATATAAGATAATAAACATAATGTAATCAAATAAATCTAATTTAATAAAAAATAAAAATTAGCACCTTTGCATAGTTAAACAACTAACTTATCAGTATAAAATATAAAATCATAATAATTAGTCATTAGGTAAATATACATTTTTAAATACTATACTATTGAAAGTATGGAAAATAAAATTAAAATGTCTGAATTCATATAATATAAATATATTATTTAAAGATAACAATATAATAAAATAAAAATAAACTCTTTTGCATAGTTAAACAAATCATAAATTAGGGAAGTATAATGTTCTCATTAATATACTCAATAAAGTATGGAAATTAAAATTTAGATGACTGTAGACACTTCAGAAAATTTGACTAGTAACATGTAAATAAATTACAGGCGATTAGAAGTATTATTTATTAGACGAATATTATCATAAAAATAGGTGCTATCAATGATAATGCGCCGGTTTTGTCGTTACTACATATATTTATTAATATTAAACATATCTGTGGTCGTTACCTATTAATAGGCAGCTGATAGATTATACCACGTTAAATGGGAAAGCCCAAGATTGTACCGAAGCGATATCATATAATATCAACTGATTAAATGACATTTGACAGTCACTATCTCAAACGTAAAAAAAATATTTTTCAATATTTCATTGAAATATTTCATAAAGTATGAAATTTTCAACTATGAAATATTTCAAATTTACAACCCTATTTATAACAACTCAAATTTAGTAGATTTTATAGGCATTTGAAGCGAATCTTCCATAAGCATGACAGCATAAGTCAGATACATGGAATCACGCATAGTCATCAGAAGCTTCAACTTGAGCCTCCAACTCCAATGACGATTTGGTTGTCCTAGTAAATTTATATATTATCAAAATAAGATCGTAGTAAAAACCATAGTGTTAATCAATTCTTCTTTTTATATTATTATATAGTATTTAAATATCATTTACTATATGATTTTTACTATAATTTTACTATGAAACTATTCACTATGCCACTATTTACTATATAAAATCGTTGTTTAATATTTGAATAAAATCAGAATCGGTTGATTCTACCGTCATGATCATGAGTTTTCTATAGATTCACTAGGTAGGAAAGTCAATTCAGTAGCTCTGGCTTAAAAATATGCCATTGCTTAAATCCCTATCACGTCCTAAAACAGAGCACAAGTTTTATTTCTATTGTACGCGATTTGTCACACATTTTTATAGTTTAAATGATATGTTGTGTAATCTAAACTTTTTATATATGCTGCGTAAAATGAATTATCAAAATAAAATTTTTCTTTTTTCTTTGTTTTTTTTTATCCATCTTTTTCTTTTTTTTTTTATAGGTATTTTTACTTAAAAAATACTTTAGATGCTTCTATTTAGTTTTTTTTTAATGTTTTTATGCATGTCCGTGAAGTTAGCCCCCCGACATAGTTTAATGAGTTCCACATTGGTACCAATATTATGCAAATTGGTTTTTATATAGTTTGTAAATTAATGATTATACCTCAAAACGTCCAAGTAAATTTCACTAGAGCTATAATATCCTTACATGAATAATATATTATGCTGATAATATGTATATAGATACTTACGGTGGTCTTTTCGATTGAAATCGATGGTCTCGCGCTGCGGTAGAGCACACACAGCAAATCGACGCATATGCCGAAGAGTAGTCCTAATTCCACTCCGAAAATCAAACACGCGACGAAGGATGTCGCAAACGGTACCAAATCGCGTTCTACAGCACACAAAAACACCGTCAGACACATACATTTAATAGTATTTAAATATCGTATTATTTTCGATGTCTGATTCATGAGACTTAAACAACGGCAAATTGTTACCACGAAAAACTATGGCCTACATCGAAAGTGTTTGCAAATTTTTTTTCATTCGCATATCCCTCAAAGACACATCCCAAAGTTTCGTGTACCCTCTTTCTAATGCGATAAACCTTATTTTTATTTTTCCTCTACTCGACACATTTATTGTCGTTTAATATCACTATAACCTGCAGTACTTGAAATGATAAGGAATTAAAAGTCGGCCTCAATTCAGAAACAATTATTTTTATAATATCGTTTATGGATTCTCATTATTATCGTTATTATAACATCAGCATTAAGTCTAAGTTTGTTACAAACGGCGGTGATAATAATTGTTTTGATTATTACCGATAAGATGACCACGTGTAAGTAAAAGCTATATGCAAACATTTTAATACTCCATTCATTCATCATTGCGGGAAAATTGCTACGTTTAAGAGATAATGAATTATTGTATGTATTACGTATTATTATGTATTATGCCTGTAATTAACGAACGTTCTTTCACAATGATAAAAACATGATTCACCGTATCGAGTTAAACTAGACTACAGTTTGCGTATAATATTGTTAAGATAGACGTTTTAATGTCTTACCGATTGAATATTCGATTAGAAAACCGCGCGAAAGAACTGTCATTCGTTTTTATATATGCGTTTTAGTTTTGATTTCCGTTAATAATCTTAGGTTGAGTTGTAGAAAAAAAAAAAAAAAAAAGAAAAAAAAATTAATGGAAATCCTGTCACACTTACTGTTGGTCTTCCACAGTGAGATTACCATATCGTATCGGACCATCGACGTCACGGCGCATATGAGCACGGCCGATAGACTCGCCTTGGGTATGTAATAGAGAACAGGCGTCAAGTACAGCAGCGACAACATGCCCAGAATAGCTAAACGAGTCAATTTCAAAAAATGCAGTAATTAATACATATTATCGTGTGGACACCATTCGGACGATTGTGCGCGTAGTAGTTACGGTTCTCATTTACAGGTAAATATCGAGCTGAACGTCGTGCGAACACCGGTGGTATGGTTCAGTGCGGATCTAGTCATGCTGCCTGCGACCGGCATTGATCCCATGAACGAGCCGAAAATATTGCACATTCCCAAAGCCACCATCTCTTGAGACGCGTCGATCACTTTTCCGCCGCCTACAAAAAACCGGTGATTAAAACATCAGTTACTACACGTACTAAGTGTACTCGATTATGCAAATGATATGCTTGATTATATATTGACTACTAAACACCTAATAAGAGCTTGTGTGTGCTGTACTGTAATTTTTTTTCTTTTTAATAAAAGCACTTTTATATAAAAATAAAGAAAATATGATGCTTACAATTGATGTGCTCACGTTGAAATAGTAATATTTAGCGGATGGAATAAAAAACGAATTAAAAATATCATGTTACCAGGTTTCAGATTCTATAGATTTGATAATAATTATTATATAACAATTATTATAGAATATCGATAAAAATAATAAAATATGCTATACATTTGTTTTATGCAACGGTAATTTCAAATCTTAAATCTTATAACTTAAAATATAATTGGAGAAAAAAAATGTTGGTGCTGGAATAAGAAAATTCTTATATTTTCGCTTAATTGTTTGATATTTACTTAATCAGAAATAATTATAAAATAAATTTAGATTTTATTAGATTGTCACCAAAATAAAAAAAATGAATAAATTATTTTTATTTTGTGATGATTTTTCATGGTTAGGTCATATTTCATTAATTTTTAGTGCTACAAAATTCGAACCCGAGTTTTAACTTATTATAGTTCGTTTTTCATTACTGCACGTAAGAGGATCGTCGAAATGCGCTGTAATTGCGATGTGCATAGTTACACATTTTACCTGGGGGACGTGTACATTATTTCCTACATGTATAATAACGGAGAAAGAAGATGTCAAAATAACTTACTAAACGCCTTGGCGACGGACACGGTGCTCAAGATCGATACCAGCGGTACGACTATCGCGCCGGGCCATAACCTTGACAAGCCCTCAAAAAATGTAAATTTCTCGTCTTCGTCTTCGTAGTCCAAAAATGGAAACCGAAATTGTGGTATGCCGCTAGCTATATGACCTAAAAGTCGTTGAATCATGGATGTAGGTGATTATTATTATTTTCGTTGTTAAAAAATCATGTTTATATAGGTTCGAGTACATATAAATCTAACCTAACCTGTTAATACTAATGGTGATTGGTTCTGATCGATGGAAGCGTATGCTACGGCTGATGAAACGATTACCACCAGCACATTGCTTCCGGTGGTCAGCACGAATAATAAGATTGAACATAATTTTGAGCGCATCCCTTTGGCGTCAACTTTTAACGACTTTAAGCTCTATAATAATTATATTGTAATGCGATTGTTCAGTACCCCGTATGAACTCTTAAGCGTCGCATATTTTTTTCACTCACCTTCAATCCAATCAACGTGATGATACATATTAACCCCATCGCGGTGTCTGTCATTCGGATGTTTTTGATGTTAGAGATAAATTTAATCCACATTTCCATGCTGTTCTTAGCTTTATAAGAAACACCGAACAAATCTTTTAATTGAGATGAAGCCATGATGATGGCTGCAGCTGTCGTAAATCCACCTGTTACCGGCATCGATACGAATTCTACCACGAATCCTGCATGACAAAAAAAAAATTCACACACCCGAGTTATTTATTAACTTGAAATTAAGCTGTAAGAGAACAAAATACTTTTATTGTCAACAGTTAGTACGGAGAGAATCAACATAGCGTACGAGTTCCAGAAACGGTGACTATATATTAGATAATTTTCTACATAATTTATATAACTGATCATAGTGCCAAAACTCTCTCTAAAATTTGATGATCCGATGGATTTAAAGATAATTGTTATTATAAATTCATAATATTGATCAAATACAAACGATGTTTGACTTAATTTTTTATTATAATTCATATAATAAATTTCATTCTTTTATCAGGCTTTAAAATGGCAATATGTAGTATAAATATTTAAATTTTGTACATAATAATAATTGTAGTAGCTTTAATAATAACCGCTGAAATGTAATAATTTATTGCTCGAATTTCAATAAAAAAATCATAATTTCTGGTTCACAATAATCGTAGCTACTTTATAAATTTATTATGAGTAACGCTTTTTACAGATCAGAATTTGACGAAAAAAAAATAATAGACTTTTGAACAACCTTTGTTGTAGTTTATATACTGTCGAAACGATAAAGTATTTTTAAATTTTTTATGGCCTGATTAGACTAATTACGATCATTATTTGTATACGTTGTTTAAGAAACGAGGATTTGATACATCACCGAAGAAACTCATGTATTATTCAACTTTCATGGTCGATTTCCATGCAAGAATCGTTTAAATAAATATTTAAGATGATTTATGACGAAAATACTAATAATGACGAATTTGAATTCATTTAGGTTGAAACAGTGATTGGAAAGTTTAGAATTTAATTGCTATTATAATATATTCATAAATTAATTAGTTTTCAATATTATGATTTTACAATTGAAACTTATATATTGATAAATCTGTTTTATTTTCAAATTAATATCATTAAAAGCATATTAAAGTAAATTACTTAAACGTATTAATTGGTTTGAAATATTAAACGGAACCCTAGTGATCGAACAAAACGTATGATCACATCATGTAGATTATCAAACTGTAGTGCCTTTTTTTCCAATAGCATTTTGTTATAAAATGGTAGTCTATATTTTTTTCAGATATTACGTATCAAACTTTAGTTATACAGTATAAGTATAAAATGTAAATACAACTCACTCATTGATCACTTCTACTTAAAAACGATAATCAATAAGGGTTAGAAATTTTAAATACCTAGCGGATTCTCTGAGAATCTTGATTTACAATACGAAGGGATTTTTTTGAGAATCGTATATTTTTGAGGGCCAAAACAGTTTTGGGTTCTGGGTCGGATGCGTAAACTTTACACTTTGGTTATCTAGGAATTATTATTGCTTATTTAATATATTGATTTGAATAATTACTGATTGAGGGATATGTAAATAAAATCAAAAAAAATTAAAACTATTAATTACATCAAAATAGTAATTGGTGTGACCGGATAATTAAGCTAATCATTCAATAAATTAGATATCTTTATAAATGTTAAGTGTAAAACATTAGTTAACGTTGTTCAATTACTGGAGGGAACTCAATAACTGGAGATTTTACCCTATATGAAACGTTTGTCCGAGGTACATTGTTTTAAATCAATGTCAACTGTCAATGCGTTTCGTTACATACACAGATTTTGCCCGCGAATCGATAGCAAAAGCTTCGGTGTGATATATGTGAATCGATCGTATTAGGTTTTGATATCGGTATACATATGGACGCACCCAAATGCAAAAATCCACAGACCACCTCGACTATGCCAGAAACAAAACACAGGATCACCGCTGTCGTCGGGAACGCTGGATTAACGTAGTTGAACGTGAGCAATGCGACAACGGACGCAGGACCGATGGTGATTTGCCGTACCGATCCGAATATGATGTACATCAGACCGCCGAAGCATGCCGAATACAGTCCAAACTGTGACAAAACAAAATCACACGTACAGTTATTGAAAAATCGCAATCGGTTGGAGTGAAAAATCATAGCAGTGTTTGCCAACAGAAGGAGGGGGAATTCCTGTCCGTGGAGACACTAAGAAACTGCACGGTAATATTTTAAGTTTGTGTTGACCGGCATTTCAAAAAGAAGGGAACATTTTCGTTAAGCTTATAATTCTAATAACCTGAAAGCATAGGAAGTAAAACGTCGTTACTTACGAGTGGGTCCAGTCCGGCTAGAGATGCGTATGCTATGGCTTGAGGCATCAGCGTGAGCGCAACCGTGATGCCCGACACCGCGTCGTACAGCAGGTCAGACTTCCGGTAGCCCGGCATCCACGTCAGTATCGGCAGATAACCGCACAGGACGCCACGCACCCGGTCGCCGCACGCGCCGCTGTGCACCACCATGTCCTCGGCCTGACGTAGATCCGCGCCGCTTCCTCGTCCGGACCGACGTCCTGGCACCACTGGTCCTTCCTGTTGGCGCACGTACGTGGTGTGCGCGTACGACAAAATGTATCACAGCGGTGTGCGCCCGTGTTCTCCTCGACGTGCGTAGGCGATTGATCGATCCTGCAAACGACGGAATAATGAAAAAAAACACTAAAATAAGAAGGATTTGGTATGGTGACAAACAGTGGCGTATCCAGGGGAAGTTATAACCTCCCCCCCCCCCGAACATTTTTAATGTAAAATTATTGTCTATTGATTATAATAAAAACACACAAAATTCAAAAAAATGAAATGTTACATTTTTTCTAACCTCTCCCAAAAAAAAAATTCTGGATCCGCCACTGATGACAAACGAGCAAGGGGAAGCTTGATCCCGCAGGTGCGCTCATTTCCTGTGATTTCCAAATGTACTCGAAACAATAAACGGTATTTGCCACACACGCGAAAAATATTTTGTTACTGGAATGCAAAATGTATTTATAACAGTTGCATGAAACGGCACTTTGGTCGAGGTCCATTTCCCCAGCACCCCCACTTTCAAATTTTGGATCCGATTTGGTCCCAATCGTTTGTAACTCGTTTGTACCTGATTGTACCTCTAAACTCTTCGTTTGTACCTCAACTGTATTTAAGTTATCCCTGTTTTTACTTGGGAGGATACAAGTAAATCACACTTTTACTCTAGAAAATAAAAAACATTGTGTGTAAAGTTTAATTTTGTTTATGATACATACATTAACTTAGTTTAAGTTATCCTTGTTTACTGTCATGTACATTTTCAACATTTCTTAAGTTCGTGTGGTTAAAATTTTTAAAATTTTACGGAATTTTGCATTTTCCGCATCAGATGCATTTCCATGACTAGTGTAAGCTTAGGCATACATCATATTCAAATTTACAATATATTTTTAATAAAAAATGAATTAAAATACAAACGGTTGAATATAAATATATATGTATGTAAATTGTAATGAAAGTTATACTAATCAAATTCACTTTAATTCTGTTTTAATAAATTATATACGTAATTTTTTTTGAATTCACTATTTAAAATATATATTTATTTTTTTTCTTAATAAAAAGTAATAAGTGTCTTATTAAAATTTATCCATTGGTATTTATTTTGTTATTAGAACTCCAATATTGAAATATTTTATCGTATATTTTCTATAATAAACAGTTTTGCCTAATTTTTTTTTTATTATTTATACTATTTATTATAAATTTATATTTACATAAATTATTGTCGGCAATAACACGTTTTGGTATGACATGACATTTTTAAAGCAATAAAAACGATGTAATGGACCAAATCGGATCCAAAATTTGAAAGTGGAGGTGCTGGGGAAATGACCTCTTTGCTTGTGTGATCTAAATATCTTTGGCTCGATTCAAGAAAGGTCCATGTAATATTATGGCAATGTTCAGGATTTAAACATTTATGTGGCCAATTTTTAATGTATATATACAATTTTTAAATTTTATATAGCAGCTCGAAAAATCTAATGTAATTAGTTTTTTTTATTTTTTTTCAGTGTAAGACTCATTTTGTGTTTAACTACAATAAGATTGGCCCAATAATCTTAATTGCTTCAAAATGTGACATTGGCCTTCCTAATCAATGGTATTTCGAAACCTGAATAATACCGGATATTATATATATTTATATCGTGTACAGGTAACCGCGACGGACGGACGAAGAAAAGGCAATGTAAAGTGTTCTAAACTTGTGTTAGGAAATCTGAAACGCACGCGGTTTTTAAAATAATATTGCGAGGGATACCTCTTTCCGGAATGCGATCATTATTATGATAATTTACTTAGATAATAATATTATAATATCGTTACCATAGGAGTACTCAGACTTAAAATTTAGGGCATGCCCGAGAAAAATCAACTAATTAGATGAATATAAGGGTGGCAATTAGGGAATCAACTTTTATTGCGTTTCGGTACTAGATAGTAAAATATAATATTTGATTCAGTAGACTGTCTTTAAATTATTTTTTATAATTATATCAATTAATCGTATATCATACACTCTAAAAAAATGTATGCCAACCATTTTGTTGATAATTTTCTTACTTCATTCTTCTAGTAGTAGAACTATTACATCAGGATCAAGTGAACAGAAGAAAAAATAATAACAATATAAATGTATTATTTATAATCGGTGTATACTCATTAGTGGCGTATACAAGGGGAGTGTTTGGTGGATATGCCACGCCGATCGTCAAATCCAAATGAATCCGCATCCGGGACAAAACCGAAACGGACAAAATGCTATGGTAATCCGTTCGATTCACCAACACCTATGTGTCGATGACCGGATGAAAAATGACGCGTTCTGTTATTTGTCGAAATCCATGGCGTGAGAGATTCGAGAATTTTTTTTTTTAATTGATTAAAATTTAAACCGTACATGCGTGTAAAATATGCATTTATTTTTTTCCCCCAATAGGTATACTCAATCATCGTATTAATTAACCTCTGATCTCAGTCGATTAAAATTTGATTAGATATAAACAATGTTAGGCATAAGGTTTTGAACTGTAATTCGTATACTAGGTCTAACGTTCGGAATAAGTAAATTGAGTTTGGAAATCCGGACTAATGCGATTTAATCTGAAAATATTGATCGTGTTTTAATTTAAATAACATATCGGTCAAAATCTCTAAATATTTGAAGTATAATCTCTAGAGGACGTCGTACTTAAAAGTATAGTTCGGGTGTAACGTTCAATAGATTGACGGCGATGTGGATACAGGCACATCGTAATCGTGTCCATGGATCGATTAATAAAATAATTTTATGTTCTTACGATTTTTGAGCAGAATCGTTTAGTGTAAATTCATAGTAGAGGTTGATTTATTTCTTTCAATGAAAATATGAAAATAATATTTTATTCTATGATTAAATCCATTTTTGTTGGTGAAAAAATAAAAAAGCTGTAGTACAAATAATTAGAGCTTTTATTTAGTAAAATGTAAATTCATTGGAAAGGTTAATATGAATTTATACTGAATGGTTTTGTCCTGCATAAAACATTTTTATACGCTTAAATTACTGGTTTATCACGTACTCTTAATTATTTTATGGCTAGTCAATATACGTGAATGTAATCTGCAACATATTCTTGGAAATGAGACTTTATACACCAACGTATGTTCATTCGACCGATGTAATAATTTTTAATGAATATAATATATTCTCGTATAAATTCAAGTATTGGATTTGCATAAACTTATATTGTAAAAGTTATATTGGTTTATAATTATGTAATAATGTATTTTTTATAAGTATAGGAAACTTTTAAATCTTAATCAAATAATAATAGGGAAATAGAAAATCTATGAGAACAAGAGCGACGAGAATGACAGTTTTATGAGGAAACAAATTAGTTAAAAATTAGAGATTATATAATAAATTATTGTAATTAAATTTACTATTATATATATATAGCTACACAAATATGATTTTAAATCGATTAGTTTTATCTATGTATTTTGTTTTTTCGGTTTTCTTATTTGCTATAATATGAATTCATGATATATTTTTATATGTAATTATTTGACGAATGGGTTTGAACTTTAATAAAATTATTTTAAATGAAAAAAATCTACGTAAAGTTTATATAGTTATTTGCAAACTTATAAAATTGAAATGAATTAAATTAAATATGTAATTAGTTCTATATAAATAAAATTTAAAACTCATAAAATATCGTATTATAGGACTAGTTTAGATTCTCTAATGTCAATCGTCCAAGGACAGCTAATAGCAGTAAGTATTCGCGATGTATAGTTTATATAGTTATAATATTAAAAAGCCATATTTTTTATTGTTATAATATTTTTTACATTTTTATCAATGTGATACATCTTTTATGATTTTTTTTGTTTTGTGGTATTTTAAATTGTACAGTAATGTTCAGTTATTATCAGTTTCAAGGTTTACAAAAAAATAAATAAAAAAATATGATTTACATTAATTAAAAACAATTGATAATAATTATTTTAAAATATAAAAGAATATTATTTCGACGTAAAATTGTGAACTACATTTAATTTTGATTCAAATTACATGAAATTGTATGACTTGTTTATTAAGGGAATATTATTTTCATAAAAGAATATTATCATGAACATTATTTCACGAAGGGATTAAATCTCTTAAGTACAAAATTTAAAATAATTAAATAAAAATATTAATTAAAAATGTGTAATTATTTTACACAAAATTTTATCAAATTGTATGCAAGAACATTAAGTTTGAATTCATTTTCGAACACAAAACACCATGATACTATATTTATCATGCTTTAACGTGTTATTTTCGATTCACTCCCAACGGGTGATATCATGCTGACATTGATGATTTTCATTACTGACTGAAATTTTATTTATTTATTTTGTATTATTTTAGTTAAGAATTCACGAGCCAAGGTAATTTGTTTTAAATTTATAAACAAAAGCTTTTGGTTATAGCGCGTAACAATCAATCGTGTAACATTGTTATCAGTTATAAATGTTGGCGATTGACTGCTTACGAACTGTCATACTGAATTAATATATTACGGGCCTGCAAAATATTATTCCAGACAAGATAAGATCAAATTATAATAATGGTGTTTAAATTTTGTTTTTGGCCCGTAAAATTAATACATTTAATCTAAGTGTTATTTGAGAAACATTTTAATAATATAATCCACATGGTCATTGTGGTTGTAAATATCATAAAATACCTCTATTGGTGTATACATGTATTATTATACTTATTATCTTTGCTTAAAATAACATCTGCGTGATATTTTAATCAGCAATAAATGTCCATTCTCATTTTTTTTTTATTTATATAAGATTTCATCTTACTACTCGGTGTTATACCGATCATTACTGTTTATTCAGAATTGTTTTATCGAAAGGCAATTATTAGTATACACATTTAATGTTAATATATTACGAAGTTTAAAATGATGTACATTATAAATAGTACACCTTCATGAAGCATTTCCGAAATTATTACGTGTATACTGGTACAGCGTATTAAATTAATTTTAATTTAATTCATATACCATGAGTCAAACGGTTTATTAAAAAACATTTTCTCTAGATATTAATCTCTGCTTATTTTAATAATTTTAAACTATTGCGCAAAGTCAACTATTTATATTACACGTTTTCTATCCAATGGTAAATTAATTTGATATTCAATTAAATTTGAATATTATGTATACGTTTCCGTCATATTTATATTTAATGTACACAATTATTGTAGACGCGTATTCAAAATAAATAAAATAAATAAATAATTTTAAATTAAATTCTTGACTTAATAAAAAATAATATCTATGAGTACACAGATATAGTACAGTTAGTATATATAATAATAATTTTTTATATGATATACGAAATTGAAATGTGAAATTTTCTTCGAATTGTGTTTGCTATATAATTATGTATAGCTAATAATATTTTGATAGATCATACTATCCATAACAAATATTTTTCTTAATGCAAATAAAGTTTTATTTTAAAGCTCAAAAATTTCTTATAATAAAAATGATTGATATTGATAATGTGGTATGGTTTTCAAAACAGAGATCAATTAACTAAGTCTAAAGCATAATTGTGAAATATAATTTCAATAAAACGATAGCTAATAAGGTTTAAATAAAATAGTAAAATATTATATTAAATACATTTATATCCATATAAATTTTTGTAAATCATATTAAATTGTTTATAATCACTAGGGATAGGATTTATATGCAAATGCATTTATGTATTGGAATAAGCTTTTTGAAATCTGATGAGCATTGTCCCCGATTTAGATCTTTCTTATTTAAATAACACTAATTTTACTTTGTATATTTTGCATATTTCAACGTTTTAATCTATTAAATGCATATTCAATGCACGTTTGTAGTTTTATAGTGCATATTATTATTAATAGCACATATATTCGTTTTTGTCGTAATTTCACGTTCACAGCCTCATAATATCGATAAAATTGCGGTCAAATATACAAGGTTGCCGAAGAAATAAGAAATCAATTCCCTTAAGTTGATGAACTCATTTCTGACGTCAAAAAAGTTTTTTAAAAGCTCCATCGCATACGACACTTTTTTAAAATATGGTCCCTAATCTAACACTTCCACCACAACCAATATTAACGTATTAGGATACATGGCTAAATGCAGCTTTTTATTATTGTGACAACTTGGAAATTATTAAAGAAATAATTCTTCGACTGAATAGTGAAGACTCTATTTCAATTAAAAAATCACAAGGTTTGATAAAAGATCCTAATTTGAAAGCTAATTTAATTTATATTAAATCAAATTTTGAAATAATTCAGAGCACGATAAAAATATTAGAATCAAAAGATTACATATTATCAGAAGTCATGATCAAAATTAAAAACGCAAAAACCACATTAAAAAAATCATAAAACGAAATTGGTGGTATTATAAATGCCAAACTTTTTTACATTTATCATACATTTCACATATTTATACATCATTTTAAACAATATTTTAAGTGAATATTTAAGTACATATTTAAAAATAAATACATATTTTATAGCATATTACAGCATTTTTAAAAGCATATTTTGAGGGTTAGTAATTACTAGGGTTACTAGGGTTATTAATCACCGTTGACAGTTTAAAGCTATGCGTTATATGATTGTTATTAAATAATAATTTAGAAAATTTATGATTTAATTTATTTAACATTTAGTCAATAATTATAATTGATAATAATAACAAGTTCGGAAAAACATTATCTCTTTCTAATCTCAATGCTAGCAATATTGGTAGGGTACCTAGATATTTTTTTTTTTTTTTTGAGGGAGTTCAATATTTTAACGACCACGTATTCTTTTTGCAAAATAATAATATTGGCAATATTTTATTTTTTAGTCATAGATGAATCGACAGTGGATTTATATGAATAACTTAGTCGAATTTTTATAATTTAAACATTAATTTTACAAAAATATTAAGTAATACTTTTTTAAAATCCTTTAAAATGTTGGGGGGGGGGTTGAAGATCCCTTAGGCACGCCTGTGAATATTGGAGTCTATATATTTCAGTATAGTACAGATCAATTAATCAGGTAAATATATTTTATACCCAATTTTGTGAGTCTATGGTTATCATTTAAATTCAATTAAATATAAATATCCATCCAGTGAAAATTTCCAGTCACATTTTCAACTGTACAAGTTCAAAAATTATTTACATTTTTTTTTTTTTTTTTGAAAGTAAATATTCAAAATCTAAATTAATTTAACTCACAATAAATAAAATAATTGTATTTTACGCGGTCGGTCCCAAAACTAATTAAACGAAATGAATTCAAAAAGTTAATATTTAATTTTTGCATATATATATATATATATATATATATATATATATATATATATATATCTTTTATTATTTATTATTTAAATGTGCAGATACTTAGGTTTAAGAATTTTCCTTCCATAATAACTTGATTGCAAATAATCCCCTCCCCCATACAAAAGTAATGTATACGCCACTGGTTATAATAATACAATTATTCTATGTCATAATATTTATAATTTGCTTAATTTTAAAATCATACGATCGATATAGGGAGCATCGGTGTACGGAACCGATATGATATCGATAATGAGCATATTGTACATGTGTCTAAAAAAGAATCCTTGACATCACGAACACATTTCTAGGTTTCGATACTTTTTTTGTAACGGTTTTGATTTATTAACATTCAGAAGTACAATGTTTTCACTGCCGAATTTTTTTCCCGACCGATCTCAAGTTTATTTTTTTGCCTATCAACCATGTAACACGATAAATAACACTGGCCATCACTTAGGTTTCCCGCTATGCACCAGCCTTTCATGTATTAGTCAGCAACTTATTATGGATATTGTAAATGTTAAGATTGAATTGAATTTATAATTTGTAATGACATTTTTCTTAAGGAGTGTTTTTTGTGCATAGACTTGTTAATTATTATTGTTGATTGATTTTAATTTTCTTTAGTACATCAAACACTACAGAAATTTAAGTTTGCTTGTATGCAGCGTTTTATACTACAATTTTTCCCATTTTTTATGTGCTTTGAAAATCAATAAATTTGGAACTGTAGTTAAATTATTAAATATAAAACGCATATAATTCGTTAACTCATAATCATTTAAAGTACATATCTTATGCCTGGATATATTGTATTTTCATTCATGTTGTAAGTTAACTAATTTTTATTTGAGGAAACATTTAAAATTTTGCACGCAAAACAAAATTTATTATTTTACAGTGATGTTACAAAAAAATAAATAAATAAATAATGAAATAATAAACGAATAAAATGCGTGTTTCGCACAGGTGTATTTTTAAAAAAGGTTTTTATGTTGTGTAATTGTTTTTAAACCAGTTACACTGACCAAACGTAAAAATATTAGTACCGTGAAAATATAATTTAAAAGTTTTAAATTCTCAGACGAATTGATTATTGGAATAATTACAATCATATACTTTGATAATAAGTCATCTTTCGATGTCATGAATCAATGCAGTTGTATATAGGATAATATTGAAAAACCCAGAACAGAATTATTAATAATGTTATAATCTTATGAAGTTATAAGTTATAACACATCGTTCTATGAATTAAAAATAAAAACAAAATATTATTTAAATATTTTGCTTGAATTATTTTAGTACCTATAAGGGTTCATTATTTTACGAATATAAAAATCATTTTAATGTAAAATTTATGTGATCGAAAATTTTGTAGTATTAACAGAACAAATGTGATTTGATATTTACTGTCGAGTCGTAAAAACGCTGTATGGACACGGGTTTTAAATGTTCATCATTATTATTATTATTTGTATAAATCTCTAACATCTCTATAAAGAATATCGTTGATCGTCAAAACGCACAACCAAAATCTTTTAAAATCTAAAAACCTATACGAAAAAGTTTTCGACACAGCCGAAGTTTCAAATATCTAAGCGCTTGCTCGAAGGAAACGGAATTGTACGGTTTTTTAAATGTTCCCATTTTGCAACGACAACGTTTTGGTAGTTCGGGAAATCATTTAAGTGACCACCGTAAAAGTTGCTCGGATTTCATAACGTATTTACGCTCGAATCGTAACTCGACCTCGAACACGCGATGCAGTCGTTTTCAAGAGCAACAGAATATTTTTTCCGGAATATCCTAGAAAAAAAAAACCAACGTGCAGCATTCCGCGGGACAAACAGCAAACAACGATGTTAGATCGTTCGTTCGCGCATTGAGTTACGACAGTGAGTTCGCCAGCCGAACCGACGCGACTGACTAAAACTAAACTTACGAGTTATCACGCACGGTGTCGATGGAAAAATGATCGATTGCAATTATATTGTACAAATCACGTACCCTCGTCGACGTCACCGCGAAAAATCACGAAACACACGCGCGAAGACGTACGTGTAAAATCAAAATCGAATCGTCTCCGCGTGTTATGGAACTGTTGTTGCGAATTCGGTTTCCTACGGATTTACCGATTTCGAGTGGCCGTGACGAGTACGCGGAACCGATAGATACGCGTCGAGTTCGTCGAGTGCACTGCACGTTCACATCGACCGGTAAATACAATTGTTGTAGTAATTTTAATAGCGATAACAATAATTACAATAATAGCAATAACGGTAGTAGTGATGATAAAAACGATACATACGTACACGGGAAGAAACGTCTGGGACGTGCGCGTGTGCGCGACGACAACAACAACAGCAATATTTTCGCACCGTTTACGATGTAGTTTGTTTAGTTTTTTTTTTCTTTTACAACGATACGGTACGCGCGTCGAAAACACCGGAAAAACGATCGTAACGTTAACGGGAAAGTCGTCTGCGCTGCTTGGGCCGTCGCAACTATGATCTATCGCGCGCGGATTCGACGCGTATATATAGTGAACGACGACGACGGCGAAAACCACTACTGGTGCAGTTGCACACGTGAGCGCGAGCGGTTCGCAACAAACGACGCGCGCCCCGGCCGGAGTGGGATTATTTTTCGGCCGACCGAACGGGCCTTGGGATCGCGTTCGACGCGCGTACGGAAACGATAACGCGCGGGTGTTCGGGAGAGTTGACTTCAAGTTTTTTCGGGCGACAAAATCGTTTGTTCGTAAAATATTTTATTTTTTTTTTTTTTCCGGACGATCAGTTCGAACATAGAGTTCAGTTATTTTTTAAGAGCGTTCGTCAAATTCATCCGAGCCATTTCTTAGCTCCGATCATATTACCTATTGCTTGAAAGAATTTTCGTGAATTACAATACCGATTCAATAGTGTTTTTCTTTTGAACGGTAAAAATATAAGATAAAGGTTCATGTCAGCGGACAATGAGAATCATAACACACTCGAACGATTAGTTTGTTATTGAAAACCTCTTCAAATACCGAGATTATTTCGTACTCTACAACTACACGGCGTTTAAAAATCCATATTGACTATTAAATTACTATCCACCAATTAAAAAAATTCTATAATTAAAGGGTGACTTCAATAAATCGAATTTTGCCTCCTGTAATGAACTTTCTGGAACACTGTAAGACGGTAGGTATAATCAGAGTTGATAAAAGCATGTTTATTATATATAAAAAAAAAAAGTTTTAATCGTTTTAAAACATGTTTAAAACACATTTTAATCGAATATTAAACGAAATAAAATTATTGGTATAATTTAATTTATAATATAATATATGTACTTAAATGAGAATAATTAAATAATTAAATATAATATTAAATAATGTTGCAATTAGTATTCTACGTGTTCTACGGCGAACAATTAATAAGTAATAATGTAATAATACTAATAATTAAAAAGTAATAACATACAAATTACTAAATAGTAAAAATGTAACAACAGAAGTATACTATGTTTGGAATGTAAATAAATTATAAAAATAAAAATAAGTATGTTAAATTTAAATTTAAAATAAGTATTGGCAACTAATGCAGGTGTACGTTGAGATTTTTTTGTAGTAGTGATTACTGTAGACTTGATTTTGATTTGATTAGTTATTAGTAGAGCCCGGATTTATATGCATTTAAAAAGTTTCGAATATGATGCAAATATGTAAAGAAAAGATGACTAAATATGCAATTATATGCATTATGTTACACTTTATAAAATGTGTTTTTTTTTAAAAAAAACCAAATTTTTATACCAAATAAAATTCTAAATATTTTATCAAAAACAAAAAAATGATAATATCCATTGCTTTATATTTCAAATAATTTAAATCAACCTAAAACTTTTAGGAAACTTAAAAACGAAAATACAAAAAAAAAAGCTAAAAATAAATGTTTTTGATTTTATTAATATTTTATATCATTTGAAGTTACCTACGCTCAAAATACCAATATAAAACTTAAAAAAAAATATAAAAATGTTTGCATTTTTACATTTATGAACAAATATGCAATAACTCTCGAAATATGCAAAATATGCAAAATAAAATGTAGTGTTTAAATTCGGTGTGATATGAATCGCGGACATTTTAAACCTTCATAGACGTGCATACACTTAGTACAAACATGCAAATGCATATAAATCCGGACTCTAGTTATTAGGTATACTTTAATGCTGTATGAATTAATAGAATCATTTATTTACTAATAAATACTAGTAAAATACATAACATTAAGCATTATATTCTAGTCTCCATGCAATATTATACAATTGTTTTATTATTATTGTGATTATAAGTGTTAGAATGTGATAAAACTTTTGTGTCTACGTTTCCTATTTTTCAAATGATCTAATAATCAACTAAAAATTAAAATATTGCATAGTTAAAAAAAATGTTTGTATCATGCTATAATGATAATATATTCTGTGATTACACTATCTACAGTTGTTTAATCTCAAACACCTTAGATCATAAGGTAAAAACCGTTTAATCACAGAACAATAAAAAATCAAATAATGAATAACTATTGCAAAAAATTTAATAAAACTTATTTGTATGTGGTAGATTATACGCCAAAAATCATGTTTTTTCTGATTAAAACAACGGTTTTTTTTTTACATTGTTTAAATCAAATGATTTAAACGATTAAAACAAAAAGCATTTGATTAAATTAAATGATTAAAATATGTTTTAAACTCTGTTTAAAACAAAATCAAAAATCTCAACATCTCAACTCTGAGTATACGAGTAATACGATGACACGAGAATGCGATTTGTCGGTTATTTTTTCGTCAAAACGATACACGTTGTTCTCCCTCCGATGTTTGTAACGGAGCACGCGCTCGGACGAAAATGGCCCTTTTCAGGACCGCCAAAAACATCATTGTGACGCTGTAAAACGGCATGAAGACAACTAATACAGCGGAAGAATAGTGTCGTTTTACATAGTCGACTGGATCGATAAAAAACTCAACCAATGAGAATGGAGCGTCGATGTCTGATTGAGTACATATACCGGTCATTTTTCAGAGCATCGACACTCTATTATTTCATTCACAACATTCAAAAGATAAGAAGAATAGAAGCACTCGACTGCAATTACGACGACAAATACGACGAAGGTAATTGCGGCGTTCACGGCGCGGCATTTACACTCGGGGATCCGCGATTCGTGGACCTATTCGTCGATACTAAAAACGGTCTTTTTCAGGGCCAATATCCGTACAAACCTTTCCGGCGCGCTTACTCAAGTGTCCGCTGGTAAAGTGATCTCGGTCGATACGCTCGCTTGCTTAAGTTTGCTGTCGACCGTGTATCCAATTCTCTATCGCACCTGCTCATGTCCGATACCGCCGGCCGCGAATAATTTTAATAAATTAATTGTACTACTTTTATTTAATGTTAAATAACTTGATATTTATATAAAAATCCGGGTGTCGATAACCTCGGCACACCATTTCATGTTATCCCGATTTTTTCTTTTTATTATTTAGGAGTTTTTAGTAAGAACAATTATAGCTCAACAATTACTGAATTATATTCAATTGCTTAATTAATTAAGAAAATTGTACAAAATTAAATATAGCACGTTATTATCAGGGCTCGGGAGTTAAAGCATTTGCTTATTTTTATGGATTGACTTAAAATTTAGCAGAGTGCTATAGAATTGTATGTCAAGTAATAACTCGTACAATTATGAAATTTGAAAGTCCCTTTTTTTTGTGCTTTTTTCGGCAATTTTTTCAAGAAATGCTTATTTCCAGTTTTTCTGATTAATTTTGCTTATTTAACCAGTTGTTTTAACGTTTTTATAGTTTTCTCCTGCAAAGCGTTATTGATAGAATTAAAAATAAAAATAATTCTTATCTTATCTACGTTGTCACATAGTTCGTCGCTATTCGAGGCATAGTTTAGGGTTAACAAAGATATTCCAATGCTGAAAACGGAACTGAGTGTCAAACGTCAGAATGATCAAAAACAGAAAGAACAGTTTACATTTTATTTTTCAGAAAAATCCCTCAGAAAATCCATAAAATTCTTAAAATCTTGAAATAGAAGATTTTTATTTTGTTTAATTTTTAATTAGAATTTTATAGTTTTTTTTTTTTTAAATAAATATTTTTGCTTAATTTTACATTTTTTAAATGCTTATTTTAGTGCTTATAATGATGTTTTTAAGCGCTTATTTTATTGATTTTAAGTGCTAGAATTCCCGAGCCCTGGTTATTATACATAATACAAGAAATTGAAAAGAACAGCAATTTTAGATAATAATAATTAGTAATGAATGTTATGATAACATTGTTATCCCATTATAGTGTTTTCTTTTTTCTTGATAAGCTCGATGCCTAGGTATGAAAGGGGGGACAAGTCCGTTTCAACGAGTTTTATTTCGCCATTTAAATGAGCCGTTTTATATACGACTTGTTAATATTTAATAATTATATTAATAAATAAGTTAATATTTATTAGTAAAATATTTAAAAAAAAAAGAAATTTACATAAATAGTTGGTAGAAAAAATAATTTTAAAGTAAATAATTATAAAGTATAGTTTTTTTTCTATTAAATATTATTATTATTATTTTTTTTTTAATTCTTAGTTAAGTACGTAGTCTGATTTCTATTGGGATTCAAAAATAGTACATTGAACACTTTTCAAAAGAACTTAAATTTCGATTATTTTTATTAAAAAACAATAATTTATTGTACGAAAAAAAATTAACATGAGTATATAAATTATGTAATTGATTAGTAACTGCACGAAAAACAATTCAACTTTTTAAGTTAGAACTTGGAAGTTAGGTAATTTAAAAGAAAATAATAACTCGTTAAATAGTTTAATTAAAAGTGGCTTAACTCGCCAAATCTTGATTCAATAAGCATTGAAATAATTGTACCCGTCGGCGTACCTCTAGTGCAGTGGTTCTCAACTGGTGTGCCGAGACACACTACTGTGCCGCGAAAAAAGTCTGATATAAAAATATTGAAAACAGAATGTATTTTATTTCTTTACATTTGTTTATCTGTATAGATAAATCATTCGTGTGTAGATTAGAATTATTTAGTTTTAGAACTGTACAGTTGTTCGGAAATAAATTGAAAATACCGATTGATAAAACTGAATATCTTAGCGCGTAGCCAAAGTTTTTGGTGTTAAGTGCATGAGTGTGCCGTGAAAACTTGTGATATATAATAGTGTTCCGTGAACAAAAAAAGGTTGAGAACAACTGCTCTAGTGTATATGCTTGCACATATAAGTGCAATAGATCCAGGTACGGATTCAAGAACGTATTTTTGGATGGACCCATACATATAACCCTCAAAATTAATACGGATAAGACAGTAAAATTTAAACATAATACAAAACAATTTTTGTTTATTTATTTTAAAATTAATATATTTCATTTAGTCATTGATAATGGTATAAAGTAAAAATTTATATTAAAAAATGCAATCTTCTCAATTTATCACATGCAAATTAAATTCTGTCTGTATATTTCATTAAATATTCACTTTCTTTTTTGATCAATATTA